GCAGTGCGAACAGGCGAGACAGGACGAGACGCAGGCTCACGACGCTCTGTAAGACTGCCGGACTGCTCAGTGTAAGGAGAAGGAGCAGGCAGTGGAGAGGCCGACTGTAACGGCGGCTGCGACTGGTCAGGCGGGGGACACAGGAGGGGAGGAGTAAGGGCAGCAGAAGGCGGGGTACCAAGAACCTGCTGGAGTAGGGGAACGAAGTACGGTCGCGGCCGCACAGCGCCACCAGGGTCAACAGCTCCAGCTCCTCCAGCTCCAGCACCTCCAACACTAGGGCCTCCAACTCTAGCGCCTCCTGCGCCAGGGCCACCAACTCCAGCTCCTCCAGCTCCAGCGCCACCAGCGCCAGTAGTACCAGACTCCGTAAGGTCTCCAGCGCCAGCACCCTCAACACCACTAGTCCCGGCAGCTCCAGTACCCCGGGTACGAGCACGTCCAGGACCAGTGGTCGCAGTACCTCCAGTAACACCAGCTCCAGCAGCAACTCCAGTACCTCCAGCTCCAGCAGGGCCAGCACCTCCAGCTCCAGAAGCTCCACTCCGAAGGCGCGTACGCCGAACAAACCACTCACGCAACTGCTGCGGAGACAGGCTCGGCGAAGCACCAGCAGAACCTCCAGACGAAGCAGCACCCTGAGGCTCCGCACCTCCAGACTCCGCACCCTCCGACGTAGCACCCCCAGGCTCAACACCCTCAGGCCCAGCACCCCCAGGCTCACCACCCCCAGTCGCAACACCCCCAGGCTCAGCACCCTCAGACTCCGCACCCCCAGGCTCCGCACCCCCAGACTCAGCACCCCCAGACGCAGCACCTCGAGCAGCACCTGAGTCGACAGCTACCTGAACAGGCGCAGGACCAGGGAGAGGGTCTACCTGAGACATACCTGAGGGAGCAGGACCCTGGGGCGGGAGAGGGTCTACCGGAGGGGGACCGGGAGCAAGGAAGAGCGGCGGGGGCGGGGGAGGGGCAGAGCGGTAGGGGAAGAGGCAGTAAAAGGGAACCGACTCGTCAAACGTGACGTCCTGAGAGGGGAAGACACAGCGCGAGGTGGGGTGGTAAAACTGCCAGCCAGGCGCGGCGGGGACAAAGCCAAGGAAGACGCAGGGGATAGCACGGGGGGAGAGCTTGTCCGCGGACGTATCGCGAACAAAGGCACGAGAACCCCAGACCCGGAACACCGACGCATCGCCAACCTCCCCCGTCCAACGCAGTGTGGGCGAGGTCTCTGGCAAGGAGACACGGGGCCAGAGATTGAGCTGCTGCGCGGCATACCGGACCGCAAACAGCCACAAAAGATGGGGAGCCGCTGCATGAATCAAGGAGGTACGAGCGACCTCCATGACCAAGCCAATGCGGCGCTCAGCAACCTCATTCTGCTGTGGTGAGCCCGGAAGCGTGAACGACTGCTCGATTCCCTCCCCCTGACAAAAGGCCCGCAAGAGGTCGGAGGTGAACTCACCACCTCTGTCAGAGTGCAGACGCAAGACAGGAAGGTCCTGGCGGAACCTGCGGCAGAGCCGGAGACGAACTGCTCGGATCCAAGGGATCAGGACAGCAGGGACCTCACCCTTGGTGCGCAAGGGGAAGAGTGTGGTGTACCGCGAGTAGTCGTCGACAACCAGCAGAAAGTACCGCTCACCGCCCTGTCCACGAACGCCGGCTGGGCCCCACACGTCCAGGTGGAGGGTCTGCAGAGGAGCCTCTGTTGGGGGAAACGAGGAGGAGTGAGGAGCAGCGTGCTGCCGCCCCTCGACGCAAGGAAGGCAAGGCGGCGTAGGCGAGGCAGGGAGGGGAGGGAGAGACCTGGGAAGACTAGACGCAAGGAGGCGACGGTGCATGTCACGTAGACGTGGCAGTGAGGGGTGGCCCAGGCGGTGGTGCCAGAGAAGAGTCTGGTGCGACAGGGAGCGACACTCACAAGGGGAGGCTACCTGACCTGACGCAGAAACCTGACCAGTAGCAGCTACCTGAGGAGGCGCAGTCGTTAGTGTGTAAAGACTCGACCCTGGCCGACGGGTAAACGTGGCCAGGTGGCAGCCGGTCCGGGTGCACGTACAGATCGCCACACGCTGTCCTCCAGGGGTAAAGGTGTCAACCCACTGGTCCTGGAGAACTACGTTTCTCACCAAGTTCGTAGAGAACGAGGGGAGGTGGAAGCCTGTCAGTGAGCCAGACGGAACCGCCGGGCACGGAAGCACAGTGGTGGACCGTGCAAGAACTTGGCCCCATGAGGGGTCAGCCAGAGAGACTACGACAGGTGCAGGGAGTGGTGTGAGTGCAGTACTGTCACGGAAGAAGAAGCAGCGGGTAGCACCTGACTCAAGCGTGAAGGTGTGCAAGGCCTCAGCAGGCGCAGTACCTGAGGAAGCAGACTCGCTAGCACCTAAGGCAGCAGCCTCACTAGCACCTAGAGCAGCAACCTCTATACCGGGGTCGTACTGCACACACAGGTGACAGTCACTCTCAGCACCACCAGGCAAAGCAGACATGACAGTAAGGATGGCATCATAGTCTAAAGCAAAGACAGAAACGCCCGACCTAAGCAGCTCAAGCCAGGGGGGGATCTCAGCCTCGTCTCCAAACTCTGTGCGCCAGGCGTCAGTCAAATAGGCGGAGTAGTGGGACTGTGCGTGACCAGGTGTCCCACAGGTCTCACCAGCTCGACGACCTGTGCGAATGACGTACGGGCAGTGACCCGGACTCGAAGACGGCCCACGCTGGTAAAGCCACTCACGAAGCTGCCGGGGCGTAAGGGTCGGACGCCTCCGTAGCTGCATCTGGCCACCGCCAGACACTCCGCACCAAACAGTGCCACAGTGACTGCTACTACGGCCGCCACCACTCCCACTGCTGCCACCACCGCCGTCACCACTCCCACCGGTACGACAAAGGGAAGTCATGTCGGGCAAGCTAGGAGGAGCGCGACCTCTAGGGCAGTACGGAGTGAAGGCAGTAGCACGAGTAGCAGCAGCAGCAGTAAGAGCAGCAGGGCGGCGCGCGGCCAGAGCAGGGCGGCGTGCGGCCACAGCAGGGCAGTAGCAGGCAGCAGCAGGTAGTAGCTCCTAGGGCAAAAGCACCTAGGGTCTTTTTTTTTATTATTATTATAATTTTATTTAGGGTTTAGAAGGGCGCTGGCGCAGGGCAGGGCGCTGGCGCAGGGCACGGCGCTGGCGCAGGGCAGGGCGCTGGCGCAGGGCAGGGTGCTGGCGCAGGGCAGGGCGCTGGCGCAGGGCAGGGCGCTTGCGCAGGGCAGGGCTCTCGCGCAGGGCAGGGCGCTGGCACAGGGCAGGGCGCTCGCTCAGGGCAGGGCGCCGGCGCAGGGCAGGGCGCTGGCGCAGGGTGACGCGAGGTAGGGCAGGGCAGGCCGTGCGTGAGGCAGCGCGACGCGGGGCAAGGCAGGGCGTGCGCGGGGCAGCGCAACGCAGGATAGTGGGGTAACGCGGTAACCGCAGTCGAAAGCTTAAGTATGGTGGGCCCGGAAAAAAAAAAAACGGTCCTACGGACCTACTGCTCTGAAACCGTGTCAAGATAGCAAGCAGGAATGATTGCATTGAATGAAATGTGGGTACAAGTACTAACCCTAACTTCGGGTTGTACCCCATATGGGCTACCCCACTATAGCCTACACAAAAATAACACATATACCGTAGTTTGATAGTCAAACTATATCTGTGCTAGTTCTATATAGGCTATATTGGGGTAGCCCATATGGGGTACAACCCAATATAAGGGTTAGTACTTGTACCCACATCTCATTCAATGCAGTCATTCCTGCTTGCTATCTTGACAGCGCACGCGCTGTTGCTGGCGGGGCACGTGCGTTGTTGCTGGCAGGGCGCGCGCTGCTACTGGCGGTGTGCGCGCGCTACGTCTGGCTGGGCACGCCGCTTCTGCTGAGGCACGCACTGCTTTTAGGGGCGCACACACACGGTTGCGGGCGCGCTGCTTCAGGTGGGAGCGCGCGCTTCTTGCTCGATGGTGCGCGGGTCTAGTGAGGCGCGCTGCCAGGGCCTACGTTATCAGAAATATTTTGTCTGTTTGTCTGGATTCCAGACACGTTTTTTATGGTTCATCTGATGGCCTAGACATGCCGTTTAAACTCATCTGATTTTTAAGACAATGTTTTTGTATTTATCTGAATTCTTAGACATCCTTATACCGTTCGTCTGAGACTGCAGATATCGAGTCATTTCTCGTCTGAAGGCAAAAGTTTCTCGAACCAGAAGGTGACTGCACCTGCATGGAAGAGTCAGGCGACAAGATTCGAACCCGAAACCTCACTCTTCACAAATCCCGATTCTACTGACTGGACCATTGGCGGATGTTCATGTGAGGTACTTAACGTTACCATCTAATATTTTGCGAATACATTGCTTGCTAGCTAAATATCTTCGTCTGAAATTTCAGAAAAGTACTTGGGATTCGTCTGAAAAGCTAGACAATGTTACAACTTTCGTCTGACAATCAGACAAGGAGCCAGGACCCGGTCTTAAAGCCAGACGGGTCATTTTACTAAAGTTAGCCCTGCGCGCTGCTGCAAACGGCTGGCTGGCTGGCTCTGGCTGGCTGGCTGGCTAAGGACCGGCTAGGGACACGTAGGCAGGCTAGACTAGGCTACGAAATAACTTTATGATACCATCTCAGAAGTGTGCAAGCAGAATGATGATCGCTAGGGAGGATGGGATAAGCAACTCTAAAAGGTTGTGAAACATAGAACATACATTATAGAGAAATTTTCATTTACAGCAATTTTTAACGGTAGGAAACCATCAAGTAGTCCAATGGACCATCCCATTTACAACACCCCCTACATTTTTGACACGTCTTTAACAGCGCAAATTACCTCCTCACCAATATAGCTCATTACACTCAGAGCAAGTTCCTTGCCTTCTGCAACTCCGTTCTTGATCTGCAAGATGATCCAGAGGCGGACTTACGAACGCCATGAAACACACGCTACAAAAGAGAAAATTGCCCTTCCAAAGTTATCATACCTGTGAGGCGAGAGCCTCATTGGTCGGAAGGTGAAGATCGCTCCTCAAATCACCCTCGGGCGTCGTAACAGTTACCTGAGGCAACACGTCCGTAGCCAGATATTAAGACGCAGAAACCAAAAGCTAGGAAATGCCATCACACAAACCCTTGGACACTTACGTAGCCATTCTCGAGAGTTACGAGTTGAAAGTCGGTACGGACCACTGGAACCTGAAAACCCAGAATTATTTGGATGAGAAATACAGGCGGCGCGACCAACGACACTGCTATGCAAGCAAACTTACGTTGCAAATGTGAGTAGACGGCACGGTATCTTCCACCTTCTCATCGGTGACAATATCAGTTCCCACAAAATGGCACATCGTGCGACCGTACTTCGCACCAACCTTGGTAGAAATCTCCACCACCTGTGGAATGTTCCACCATAAATAACGAAACTCGTAAGCCAACTATCTGAGCCCTTTTGCGGAAAAGAGGCAAGCAGAACTTCTGCTTTGAAGCGACCAGGCGCGTGATAACTTTGGAATCCCTCATCTCGTACCTTGCAAGGCCGTCCCTTGATAAAAACGAGTCCTCCCTTGCGAATAGTACCCGCCTCTTGCGGGATCGTCGTGTCAGACATGGCTGCTTTGCTGACTCGACCTAGGGACTTTACGATAGCGGGGAGGAACAAGTGAGCTGAGAGATATGGGATGGGAGGGGTTTGTGGCTAACTTCAGCGAGCTGAGCAGTTATCTACTCAGATGGCATTCGGGGCTACACACAAACTTTGTTCGAAGGTGCCTAATCACGGTTTCGAACAAACGCTGGATCTCACTCAATGTCGGTGCTCGTCGCGCACGTATTCTGCTGTTCGCATCCATGCCTTGAAATGGGATTTTGCGATCACCTGACACGTCAGGAGACTGACGGCACGATTAATTCACTCTGCCCCAAAAAAACACGCTGTAGGCATAAAGCCAGAATCACGGAAATTGAAGTAATGTATTGCGAAACTGTTTTGTGTTTTCCAATATCATCCTTTTCTGTTTTGTTGGTGCCAATTTTTTTCTCGTGTGCCAGTATTTCACCAGTTGGCCTCTGGACGGAGACGGATGGAGGGATTCTCGTCGCTGAGCATCGCACACCCGCCAACCGTCAGTCAGTGCCTAGCACTCAACCAGTTTTAGTTGCACGTCAAGTCAAGATGATACAGTATACTGTAACGTCAAGATGTACAGAATAACGACCGCCTTACGTGGCATGTCGAATCTCGCATGTGCACCTGATGCTCCTTATCTCATTCCACTACTGTTCCACATATTGCATTGTGCTCCTATTTCACACACAAGACAATCATTTGCAAATTGGCTTGTTCATAGTAATGAGGTCACCACCTAAACTGCAGTTCCGTAATTCCGGGTAGTCCAGTTTGTTTTGTTTCTAAAAACCTGCTAACTTATTCGCGGTCATAAAACCATGTTTTTGACAAGGGCTTGTAATATTTGGGCTGTTGCCCGTGAACGTCGCCAACTGCTCCTATCGAGTATCTGAAAATTTTAAACGTGAACAGTTGAGTGAGCATAAGGGCTACTTGTAGCAATCAGCACAGCTATGCTGTACTGTGGAAGGCTCTGTACCAGAGTTTTTCAAATACTTCCCCCTCTCTCGCCCTCCCTCGCACCCCTTCCCCTCTGCCCACCCACCTCCCCTTCTCCCCCACGCATGAGGGAAGCATTTTGTATGTAGAAGGGATGGCTATATGTCAGAAGCATATCAACAAGACGGATGGAGCAGCGGGTCACGGTTGACGTCCTTATAAAGGAGATATCTTGACCGAGTCTTGCCCAGTGCTGCATACCTGCATGGCTCAAACAGGGGAGATGAGAAAACATGGGTGCTTAGAATGGATGGACGGAGCAGCGGGTCGCCGTTGACGTCCTTATAAAGGAGATCGAGTCTTGCCGAGGGCAGCATACCTGCATGGCTCAAACCGGGGGGATGAGAAAAAAACATGGGTGCTTAGAATGGATGGACGGAGCAGCGGGTCGCCGTTGACGTCCTTATAAAGGAGATCGAGTCTTGCCGAGGGCTGCATACCTGCATGGCTCAACAACACGAGAGATGAGGAAACACCAGTGAGGAGGAAAACACAAGAGTTGAGAAGCAGGTGTGATGAGAAAGAGCGGAGGCGAGAAAACACTTGTGTTTAAGAAACATGTGCGACGAGAAGAAATCAGCGGCGAGGGAACATGTCATTACAGCCGAGATAAAGTAGAAACAAACAGTTCATTAGAGAAAAACTTACCGCTAGGGAGTAAAGATTCATGGTCCGTCAATCAACCAAGAGTTCCATGTTTCAGAATCCTAGGCAAAAGTGGTCTCGACTATCGAGAGAGTTTTGGTACAAAGGAGAAACCTAAGGGGTTGTACCCCACAGTGAGTACCCCACTAAGCCTACCCAAACTATAGCATATATATACATATGTTTGACACACCCCCATAGGCAAAGTGGGGGAACAGAGGGTCACAAGACCAGTCAGGAAGTGCAAAGCAAGCTCATGGTGGATCACAACGTCACCACGCAGTCTGAGCACAAGCAAGAAGGCCACAAGGCCAGTTCACATGCAGAAATATATATGTAACAACAACAACAGTACAGTGATATCTACCTACAAGAACAAGCATGCAGGAATACATATAAATCATGGTACAAACAAAGCCTACAACAAGTGAGGAAGCGTGGGCACAAGGCCTAACAAAGTGCAGAAACGCTGATGATCACCAGGCGGAAGCGCCTTGGTGAATATATCAGCAGTGTTGGCCCGAGTGGCCACGTAGGTAAGACGAAGCTGGCCACGCTGCTGCAGCTCTCGAGCAAGAAAGTAACGGAGAGCGATGTGCTTTGTTCTGTGTTCCAGTTTGTGCTCCTGACACAAGGCAATGGCGGCCTTGTTGTCGACGTACAGAACTGGAGGAGAACGAGGCCGCTCTCCCAAGTCGGTCAGCAGGTAGGTGAGCCAGCGCAGCTCCTGTGCAGCCATGGCTGTGGCGTAGATCTCTGCCTCACAGCTGGAGCCGAGAACTGAAGACGAACGTGTAGAACGCCAGGAAACTGAACCAGAACCAAGGCTGAAAGTGTAACCCTGTGACGACCGCTGCGTAGCCTGGTCGTCAACCCAAGAGGCGTCCGAGTGACCTGTGAGGACAACGTCACCCCATCCTCCAAGCACGAGCCCCATGCCCGATGTACTGCACAAGTAGCGTAGTACCCTCTTGGCAGCATCCATGTGCACCTTTCGGTGCCGACCAGGAGCCACGTAGCGAGCCAGAAGGCCAAGAGGGTACGCAAGGTCAGGACGAGTGCAAGTCATCAGGTACATGAGGCAGCCCACTAACTCTGGGTAAGGACCACTCGGCTCTACGGACTCGTCCGAAGGTGGAGTTGAGAGCGAGTGACCTGTAGCCAGAGGAGTGGCCTGTGCTGAGGACCAGGTGAAACCGAAGCGCTGAAGGACCTGCTGCACCATGTGTGACTGAGTCGGTGTGATGGTGCGGCGTGCTCTGTCCCGGGTGATATGCAAGCCAAGGTAGCTGCGCAGTTCACCCAGGTCTGTGCACGTGTGTCTCTTCTGCAGCTCCGACTTCACCAAGGCGAGAGCCTCAGTGTCAGCAGTGGCAAAGACCAAGTCGTCGACGTACACGAGAACGTAGAACGGCGGCAGCGAAGTGTCGGTGCGCAAAAACAGCGACGGGTCAGCAGTCGACGGAGCAAACCCAAGAGCCGCAAGTGTCGTCCTCAGTTTGTCGTGCCACTCACGTGGCGCCTGGCGGAGACCGTAGACCGGCCGCCGGAGGCTCCACTGGGTACCAGGAGGGAACGACCCAGTGAAGCCAGGAGGGCGGCGCAGCCAGATCTCCTCGTGCAGGCTGCCCTGTAAGAAGGCTGTGCTGAAGTCAAGAGAGTGAAGCTCGTAGTCACGCTGAGCGGCAATGTGCAGCAGCACCCGAAGAGTGGTCATCTTCGGGGTGGGGGAGAAGGTCTAAAAGAAGTCAACTCCCTCTCGCTGACTGAAGCCTCTAGCCACGTAACGAGCCTTGAAGACAGGCGGAGAACCTGGCGGCCGCTTCACCCTGAAAATCCACATGCCACTGACAATGTTCGCCCCAGGAGGGGGAACCTCGTCGACGTAGGTGCCTGTGGACTTCCAGGATGCCATCTCTGCATCCATGGCTGTCTGCCACTGAGAGGAGTACTCACCCGCGATCGCCTCAGCGTAAGAGCGCGGGGTAGGGATGTCTGGTGCATCCGGGTCTCCCTCAGGGGCAAGCAGCATGGATACGAGATGAGGCGCAGCGGCTGCAAGACACTCAAGATCCTCCTGCCTGTCCTCAAGGACGTCCGTGCCAAGAGCACACTCACCCCCGACGGACGGAGGACAGACAGACGCAGACTCAGCAACAAGACTGGCGGCGTAGTCTAGACGACAGTGAGCAGCAAAGGCAACAAGCTCAGTGACTAAGGCAGATGCAGCAGTAGACTCAAACGACGGGTCAGTGACAACAGTGGCAAGTAGACGCGTGACAGTAGAGTGCTCAACACGAAACCGGTCAGACGCAGGGTCAGCAACGAGAGGCAGAGAGGACGCAGGGGGAGGCGACAGAGGAACATGCGGTGAAGGAGAGGAAGGATGACGAACTACAAGGGGAGGGCCGGAGACAGCCGGTTGGCTCTGACGAGGAACACGACGATCGGAATGACAGGGGAGACAGGACGCGACGCAGGCTCACGACGCTCTGCAAGGTCACCAGGCTGTTCTGTGTACGGAGAAGGAGCAGGCAGCGGTGAGCCAGGCTTTAACGGAAGACCAGTAGACGAGGGAAGACTGAGAACCTGGCGAAGTGCAGAGTCAGGTGGTGGCTGAGACGACGGAGACGGCGGAGCAAAGAACAGGCGTGGCTGAGCAGTGCCACCAGCACGAGCAGCACCAGCCCCTCCAGCAGCTCCAGCACCTCCAGCAGCTCCAGCAGCTCCAGCACCTCCAGCAGCTCCAGCACCCCCAGCAGCTCTAGCACCTCCAGCAGCTCCAGCACCTCCAGCACCTCCAGCACCAACCCCAGCAGCTCCAGTACTCCCAGTACGAGCACCTCCGTGACCAGCGACACCAGCAAAAGAACCTCCAGCAGGAGAGCCCTGAGGTGCAGAAGTGGGACGCTGACGGCGACCGTACCAGTCGTGCAGCTGCTGGGAGGTGAGGGGCACACGCGGACGAAGACGGCTACTCCAAGGAGAAAGGAGAGAAAGGAGCAAACCCAAGAGCTGCAAGTGTAGTCCTCAGTGTGTCGTACCACTCTCGGGGCGCCTGGCGGAGACCGTAGACTGGCCGGCGGAGGCTCCACTGAGTACCTGCAGGAAACGACTCAGTGA